GCCTCAGAAAACTTTTACTGTTGCCAGTAAAAGTGAGCCCAATAATGTGAGCCCATGTAATGTGTTTAGTGTATTGTTTTTCTCCATATATGCAAATTTAACTTAAACTTTTCTAATTTTATTTATATTATTTTTGTTTTATGTATTAGTATATTGCCTGCATGTGTGTAAGTGCACCTGTGTTGTACAATGCCCATGGAGATCAAAGAGGGTGTCGCATGCCCTGGAACTGGAGTTATCAACAATTGGTAGCTACCATGTGGATGCTTGGAATCGAACTTGGATCCTCTACAAGAGCAGCCAGCAGCCAGTACTCTTAACCACTGGGCCACTTCTCCAGCCCCTGGGTTGCATTTCTTGATGAAGTTTATTCCCAGTTATAGATCCAAAAGCAGATATTAGAAAAGATACTTAACACTAATGCTGGCAGCATTATTCAGAATAGCCAAAGTAGAAATACCCAAATGCCCATCAGCAGATAAAAGAATAAACCTAATATAGGAAATACATACAATGAAATACTCTACATCTTTGGAAAGAAACTTTGATATCTGTGACAATATGTGGACCCTAAAAACATTATCCTTCGTGAAATATAAGCCAGACAAAGAGGGCAAATACGTTATTATCCTTGTGTGAAGTGCCTACAATAGGCAAAATTATAGAGATAGAAAGTAGAGCAGAGGTTATCAGTCTCATAGGTGCCTGGAAAAGAGCATTATTGTTTAGTAGACACAGTTTTTGTTGGAGATGGTGAAAAGTTTTGGAGAATAGATAGCTTTGTTAGAGTTTGTTTGCCACTGTGATGAAAGACCTGGCAACTTAAGGAGGAGAAGACTTAGTTTAACTCATGGTTTCAGATGTTTTAGGCCATAGTCTTTTATTCCTCTGATTCTGGGCCTGTGGTGGGAGCCTGTGGCAGACGTTGCTCACCCCAAGAAAGACAGAGGAAGCACAGATAAGGTGCACCCTCATGACAAGCCTTTGGAAACATAATTCCTCCACAGAGGCCCCACCTTCTTACTTTTTACCACTTCCTAAGAATGACTCATGTTATGAATCCATTAAGGAATAGTTCATTGATTAAGTCAGAGCCCTCTGGATCCAGTCATTTCCCAAAAGCCTACTAGCTGGCAATCAAGCCCCCAGATACATAGGCCTGTGGGAGACACCTCATATTGAAATCAGAAGGGCAGTGGTGACTGATTACACACCTTTGTGAAAATACTTGTCACTGAATTGCACACATACAAATATTAAAATGTTAAGAAAAATTATGCATAGTTTACCATATTAAAAAGTTCTCAGCCGGGTGTAGTGGCACACGCCTTTAATCCCAGCACTTGGGAGGCAGAGGCAGGCAGATCTCTGTGAGTTCAAGGCCAGCCTGGTCTACATAGTGAGTTCCAGGACAGCTGGGGCTACAGGGAGAGCCTGTCTCAAAAAGACCAAAAAAAAAAAAAAAAGTTCTCTAGGGGGATGGAGAGATGGCTCAGTGGTTAAGAGCACTGATTGCTTTTGCAGAGGACCTGGGTTCCATTCCTATCACCCACATGGCGGCTAACAACTGTCCATAACTCCAGTTACAGGAATCTAACACCCTCTTCTGATCTCCATGGGCGTTGCATGACACGGGTGTACGTTATACACAAGCAGGCAATACACTCATATACATAAAATAAAAATAATAAATAAAATATTTTAAAATTTTTCTAGGGCAGAGGCAGGTGGATCTCTGTGAGTTCAAGCCCAGCCTAGTCTACATAGTGAGTTTCAGGCCAGCTGGGGCTACAGGGCCACCCTGTCTCAAAAAAGACCCCCCCAAAAGTTCTCTAGGTCTACAAGATGACTCAGTGGATAAAGGTGCTTGCTTACCAAGCTGAAAACTTGAGTTTGATCCCTAGGACACACATAGTGGAAAGAGAGAACTATGTCCTGCAAGTGGTCCTCTGACCTCCACACACAAGCTGTGGCACTTAGGCACCCACACACATATGTACACACATGCACATACCCAAAATAAATAAATGTAATAAAAATTTTGTTTTCTATTCAAAACACAAAGATGTCAAATTCTTTAAAAAGTGATAGATAAGAAGAATATACTTGTTACTTACAGTCTGCTGTGGCCTTTTTTAGAAAGTGATAAAGAATGAATAATTTTAGATATTTGGGAAAATGTATAGATAAGTACTTATGTTAAAATTTTAAGGGGACTATTAAAAGATTACAGACTGTCTACAGCTTCTAACAGAGGGTATAAAAGAGAGTGCTTTTTATCTCTTTTTTCAGACCAAAGGCTTAAACTTTAAAAAAATTATTAAATATAGACTTTCATTATCTAATATACCTATTTTTTCTTATCTTTCTAAATCATTTACCACAAACATTTATGGCACATCTATGTGTTAGGAAGCATAGAAGAGATAGACATGAATGCAGTCTAATTGCTTGTAGTCTAATAGAAGTAGTATATTTTTATATTTTTTAA